TGACGTCTTCGGGAAATGAAGTGGAGTAATTTCTAAATTTGAAAGGCATGGAACATAATTACTTCCAGTTCAACAACTGCTTCAATAGATATCATGAAGAACGGCAATGGGAAACCCGATATCTCCCTTTATATCGTATCTGTTGTACAGCACATTTGAATGGGAAGCAGAAGTGGGGTTAGATCACTTTCCACAGACTTGGAATCGATATCTGAACGATGTATTTGCAACTTTTCACAGTATGAAATCAAAGGCTGAGTACTTTGTTTTAACTCTCAATAACAGACTTTACGTATGGTTTACATATGGAATTGAAATCAACGACATCCAACATCCATTCTTGGATGTCTCAGTGATTAGAAGGAACCAGGATCTAGAATCTAATGGAAAATTACCAGTACTTATAATAGATATATTCTTGGTGGCTCATACCAATATCCTCTCCTTGCATATACTGCTTCGGCTGCTCAAGTATTTGATACGCGGCAGATTTGTTAGGTATTCCGCTTCTGAAGAAGTGATAAATTGCTTCCCAGATGCACCACCTATTTTCCTAGATTTGTTTGAGACTTGGAGAACTAAGAAGCTCTTGTTCTTGATTTGAGGTTATAAGGGGAACATACTGGGTCAGTCAGCCTATCTTGTCTGTAGTTACAGGGTGGAATTTTTGATTACTTGAAGGTCTCACGAGCGAGTAAAGGAAAAAGTTTCATCAGAGCCGAGGTCTGAGTTATGGTGACAGGGCTTTATACGATGAGAGGACGCCAGGTATTTAAGAAAGTTCGTTAGTGATACTGAGTAGGCTCAGAGACATCATGTCAGCACGGATCATTCAGGAGCTTCAAGGAAGACACTTCAACCGGCCAGGGTATTTCAACATTCACCAGGGCGTTGAGGGCAGAGCAAAAAGTACATCAAACTAGAACTAATTTGCATAAAATGACATGGCTTCCAGTTCAACAACTGCTTTAACAAAATCAAGTAACGGCAATGGAAAATTCGCTCTTTTCCCTCATGGCATCATGATTGATCATAAACAGATCTGAAATGAATGATTTGGATTAGATACGTCGATGAAACTTTCGCTCATTTTTTTTTCGAATAGGGGTGATAAAGTAAATTTTGTGTTTATTTTCAACTCATAAAGAGAACAATGTAAAATATAATGTTTACTTATGAAATTGAAGAGCTATCATTCATAAATGTGCTAGCCAAAGACTGTTCAGCATTTTATGTATATTGGGAGAAGTAAGAATAATGTATACCCCTGATAGCTATTGTGCAAAAAAAATAACAGGACTTTCCTGTCCATCGGCTGGTCAAATAACCTCTAAGCAAAGGAAGAGACGACATCAAGAAACATTAAAATTATTCGTTAATTCACATCTTTTCATGAAGACAAAGAAGTTTTTAAATTTGAACCCGAATACGACAATGGATTAGTTCAAATTTTCGAAAAATTGAACAATAATGGCTTTCAAAACTGCTCAAAGGGTATTTTGCGTGAGAGAAACGAATTTACAAAACAAGCTGTGAGGAATGAGTCAGAAATTATATTGGTGCAACTCAGCAAAGTATAATAACTCGTTTGATGAAAGACATATTGGATTTTGTAGACAAAACAAGTCGCTGAGCATGCCTTAGGAAACGTACTTAGGAAAGTACCGCTTTTTTTAAGGACGGAACATAAGCACTACATCGAAATCCTTAAGACGCTTTAAGAGCGGTGTCTGTACGGTGTCACGATGAATTTGAACCGCTAGAGATTAAATTCATTTGGAAAAACGTTCTCAGGAAGTTTATTTTACATAAACGCAGTTCTACAAATGGAAGAATTCTTGAGCAGCCACAGTTCGTCGTGTATTTCTGATATGTACCGCTCTTGGTGAAATCAAATGAGCCAAGTCACTTAAACACCTCCCGTGAAGGAAGAGACAAATCTCCAACATTTCTTCGATATTCCAGACTATCAAGGTTGGCAGTGATGTTCGTGTCTCCAATCAGGCGAATGACTTTTTTCTGGATGGAATCCAGCAGCTTCAGGGTATGCTTAGGAGCGGAGCTTCATAAATGGAAACAATACTCCAATGAAGGTCCGATCTGCGCTTTCCAAAGCATCGAAAGTTGCTGGGGTGTGTACAGTTTTTTCTGGTTCGAAATAGCGTTTCAAGCTTTTCAGAAACAGCCTTTGCAATTTGAGCGACGTGATTGTGCCAAGTCATATTGGTGTTTCCGGTTCGCACACATCTTTTTGGAAAAAACCGATGTCTGGGTTTTCGAGTCATCGAATTGAAGGTAAAAGTATTCGAGAGGTATCCATGGTCGGCCACTTCCAGGGGACATTCTTTCAGAAAACTGGAGATCCATACACAAAAATTATCTGACAAGCCATAGCATCGAAGTATGGTCAGCAAACCCTCATGCTACACATGGTCAAAGGTGCTAGCTCTTGACTCGCCATGTTTCTCGGATTACATTATTCCAAATATAGATGACATACAATAGAAGGTCGCCTTCTGATCTTTTTATCCGAAAGCAACATTGATGATCGCTCAAGATGTTGAAGCCTTCCAAATATTTAAGGATATGGTGGTTTACGTCTTTCTCTATAACTTTTGATATTACGTCTGGTATATATTTGTTTTAGAAGATTTTTCTGTCTCTTTTTGGGAATAGGCTGAACGCGAGCAATCTCCCAATCAGAAGGAAAAACCCCATTCTTGTGAGACAGTTGGAAAGTCTGCAAAAGGCCGGTGCAAGTTCGTTTGCGCACTTTTTAAGTACGATAACGGGCACTTCATCAGGACCAGACGCCTTGATATCGAGCTGTTCCAAAATTCGCCTGGGCGTTGTCGAAAAATAGTTTCCGGCATTCTGGATTCCAGTGTAGGAATAGTGGGTGGTGCCTTTTCCAGAAAATCGACTGTGGAGTGGGACGTAAATTGTTCAGCTAGTAGATTTGCTGTTATTGCAATCGAACCATTCGCTTGTGTTAGTGGTGGAATTATGAATTTTGTTTCAATCAACAGCTTCAGCTACCGACCAGAAGGATCTAAATCCGTTGGAATTGGCGAGCAGTTCATTCCTGATTCTCTGACAACTGCCTCTTGATGTCTCTCAAAGTTCAGAGATCGAAAAATATCCAGCTGTTGATGAAACTAGTATACTAAATAACCCATTGTTCATTATCTCTTGTAACAAATACAAGAGAAACCAGGAAAACCTCAGTACCTTAACGAGTAGTCAATAGCAATTATGATTTGAGATACAGTAAGGTACTTTGTTTGTATCTGTATTCTGTTATTTTTCATACTACTTTGGGTAAAAGTCAGACATGTTATTCCAATGAATAAAATATCAGGGTTACACGCCACCACCCTGTACACTGGCTCCACGCTCCGAAGTTTTTAAATTTATTAACATATCATCGCAGTAGACTCGTTAATGGAGAAAAGCCACGGGTCTGTTCGAGAGCGTAATAAATATCACTACTACTATTGAGAAGCCGTATCTGAGAGTCTCTCTATTGTAACAAGCATGCTTTAATTCACCATAAACTCACTCATTTCGAACATAACTCGCAACGGAAAATGTACTACCAGTTATTTACATAATAATAATGTCTGTAGGTACAGTTGTCTTTACAATTCACACTATTTATGAAGGTGGAACGAGGAGGGCAAAATGAATGTTTCGATATTTCACCCCCCGTTGAGGTAATGTCGCTCTATAGGGTGATGTCGTTAGAGATGGGGAGTGAATGAACGTTTTTTCATTGAATCCGGTTCCTAAATGAATTTTAATAAATAATTCATATGAAAATACCTTATCATTGTCATTTTTATATTCAGAACAAAGCGTAGAATGTCATAAAATAAAACATAATATTTTATTGGATATTATTCTTTATTTCAGCTCAAGCGAGCATCAGACAAAAATGTTGGTTGAGGTTAAGTCTTGTTGTCCGCTAATCATGAAAAATAAACACTTTCAGCACCTTCTGACTATTTGATGTAGTTTAAAACATCATGTTTGAAAACTTACTCATTTCGAAAAAATGAAATCCAATTCAATAAGTTAGATTAGGTCCATAGTGAGTGGGACCATTCGACCCTGCACCGCAACCCGCAAGGGTTTATTGTGGCTCACACCGATTCACACTCGACCAAATAAAGCCAACTTCTTATCGAAACCGATTAGTTTGCATGGTGAGTGGTCTTTCAAGTCAGATGGTAAGAGAACGGCTCTGCTGAACTCTAAAAATCTGTTTCGTTCGCCAGCGGGGTAGACACAAAGTATGTGCTCTGGTGTTTCATTATTTTCCAAACAGAGGCGAAACACACTGTTTTCCGACAGTCCAAGTCTCTGCATATGATGATTCAAATGACAGTGACCTGTAAAAAGGCCTGTTGGACATCGTACTTCATCCCCACTGTAGTCCAACAACTGTTTGGTATCAAGCTTCGAGGGGTGAATAAATGCCTTGGAGTGAGTCAATCTTGAAAGATTCTGCCAGAAGTCCATAAATCTAATTGCCATCCAGATGTTCAGTGTTTGTTTGGCAAAGCCTAAAGCGATGCCAATGACAGGTTCTGGCCCATTGAAGCTGCCTCCCTCTTTAGAAGGGGGTCAGCAGCCTCATTGCCTTCCATGCCAGTATGGCCAGAAATCCAGACCAGAGACAATCTGTTAACCCTCCATTAGTGTTTAGGGGTATGTCATACCCCAGAACCACAAATCACAGCTCCTCAGCAAAAACTAACCAAACTACAGACCTCTAGTGCTCAGTAGCTGTAGTTGAAACATATTCTTCCAGGGATGACACATTTCCAGCTCTCTCCGAATTCTCAGTTATACGTGAGACTTCTTCAAGTGCAGTTCGGGTACGTTATACCCGGAACACTTTTGGTGTAACTATTTGCGGTAAATTCCATAATTGTGTGCACAGTATAATTGGAAATTTTCGTAAATAGTTTTTCAGAAGTATCAATTATTGTAAAATGTCTTACGAAGAGGAACAAAAACGACTCAAACATTTATGGGAAGGGTTTGGCGCCAGTTCTGATGATGATGATGATGATTTATTCATTGGCAGTAATTCTGATGGTGAGGATGGAATGCAAGAAGAAGTCGGAATCGCTGGAAGAGGTGGAGAACACCCAATAGAAGAAACAGAATATGCTGAAGAAGGAACAGTACATGCAGAAGAAGAATTGGAAAATGCTATTTCTGATTCGGATACGGAATATGGAGAAAGAGAAAGGGAGTCAACTACAGATGATTCACGAAATGGTGCAGATTCAAATAGAGATGGTAACAGGTATTTTTTGGATAAAAACAAGTCGAAATGGGCAAAGTTTCCGAACAGGAGAAACGTTAGAACTAGATCTGAAAACATCGTCATTCATTTACCTGGCGTGAAAGGAATTGCACGACAAAAAAAGACCGCTATCGACTGTTGGCTTTTATTTTTTACTGAAGATATGCTTGATGACATAGTTCGATATACGAACGTCAAATTAGGAAATAAAGCAACTAAATATAATACGAGCCATCAGTATTTGGTAAAAGAGACCGATAAAATGGAAATAAAAGCAGTTATGGGGTTGCTTTATTTGACAGGGTTATATAAAGCACACCGACAAAACATGTCAGATCTCTGGAATACTGATGAAAGTGGTATTGAGTTGTTTCGAACGACAATGTCCCTTCAAAGATTCTATATCCTGTTGCAGTCTTTGCGATTTGACAATAAACATAATAGAGACCAGCGAAAAGAAATTGACAAATTGGCACCCATCATAGGAATTTTTGAAAAATTTGTTGATAACTGCAAAATACACTATTCACCCAGTGAATATCTAACAGTTGATGAGAAGTTGGAGCCATTCAGGGGACGAGTGTCATTCCTTCAGTATATGCCTAAGAAACCTGCAAAATATGGTTTGAAAGTTTTTGCACTTGTGGATGCAAAAACTTATTATTGCTTGAACATGGAGGTTTACGTTGGCACGCAGCCAGATGGGCCTTACAGGCAAAGCAATAGTCCGGAAGATATAGTCGAACGTTTGATTGAACCAGTGTCTGGAACTAAACGAAATATTACTTTCGATAACTGGTTTACCAGCTACCCTCTCATGATGAATCTGCTCGAAAGGCATAAGCTTACATCAGTTGGAACTGTTAGAAAGAACAAACGACAAATACCAGCCGTTTTTCTGAATATAACAACCAGAGAACCTCGCAGTTCTGTATTTGCATTCAGGGAAAATATCACAGCTGTGTCATATGTGCCAAAAAAGTCGAGAAATGTCATTCTCTTCTCTACATTACATCATGATGATGCTATAATTGATGAATCTGGTGACAAAAAATTACCTGAAATCATCCACTTTTATAATTCCACTAGACACATTGGATGAGTTACCTGCTAATTATAGTGTTTCGAGAAACAGATCCAACAGATCCAAAAGAATAGCGTTTCAACTTTCTTTACCAAAACTGCGTGTGTAACCCTACTATCTGATCGAAAAACATCGAACTCGCGGCTGGAATTTCAAAATTACATGCTTTGTCTGATTGTGGAACATGTCTGATCGTGGAACATTTTCGCCTAACCTTTTCGACCAAGACATTTTTAATTTTTATACCAAAATATGATTAAACAGAGGATCTTCGATGTGAAGAAAGCTTCAAAATTCATCATCATTTCCTGGGCGTTTCTGCTTTCACGGGATCGAGAGCTCAATAGCATAATAGGTAATTATTTAATAACAATGTAGACGCAGGCCCCGCCTGCTTCCAGTGTGTTATCATCAATAAGTCCATATATGTAAAATGCATATCTGCAACCCAGAATTCGTATAACGGACCAGATTTGTTCAGAAAGAAAAGGGGATTTCAAAAATTGTTTTCAAATTAGTTAAAAGCACTGGCATATATTTCTGTTTGAAATGATTCAGTCCAAGTACCCCACACGTACCCCACTGGTAGAAATAAAACATTTCATTCTATAGCAGAAAATAACTTTTGTTAATAAAATTAATTTCTCATGAGATTTTTTGCAATAAAGTCTCAATTTACTCGTACAGCTCGTACACTATATGTTATATATACATATATAGTAGCTACTTAGTGAAGTTGCAGGTTTCAAATGAATTGAGCCTTCCTTATATGCTAGGAGGTCCAGCTTTATCTTCAGTCTCTAATTTTTGCTTTGCTAGTCACAATAAACAGGAATTTCCCAAAAATGATACATATCAGAAAGTGCCTATTCTGAGTGAACAATGAAAATTGAATATAACTGGAGTTTTTTCTCAACACCAAACCGTTATTTCAACACTTCGACACGTGTTTCGATCACCAAGTGATCATCTTCAAGAGGAAGATATTCCTATAGATCATCTTCAAGAGGAAGATCTTGGTGATTGAAACGACGCGTGTCGAGGTGTTAAAATAACGGTTTGGTGTTGGTAAAAGACTCCAGTAATATTCATTACTACACCAAAGGTTCCAAACAGTGCATCACAAATGGAAATTGCGACAACCTATAAAAAATATTTATTCACCCCGCAACAACCCCTTTTACTCAAGTCATTTTCGGAGAATTTTTGCGGAATGGGTATTAAATATTGAAATTCGTTCATGAATTCCGCTGGAGTAAATGCTCAAATTATATTCAAAGCAAATACGCAGAAACACAATTTGAAGAGACGACATTTTTTGAAAGAACTGGGTATGCAACTGATATCTGAATTTCGGAATCAACGTAGTCCTGTCTACGCCGAGGACTTCGGCAAAACTAAGAGTTTGAACGTCATGAACCTGGACCGAAGCGACGGCGGACAAGCAGCAGATGTTCTGTCTGTCCAAGAAACAAGGACAGAAAGACATTCTATGTATGTATACGATGTGAGAGTTCAATTTGTATGGAGCATGCAATGATGACATGCGAAAATTGTGTCAATATCGAGGGCCCATAACTCTTTTATTTGTCAAGTAATTACTTCCAGTTTTGTGTTGTGTTGTTTGTGAAACATCTAGGCAGGTTGATATTTCTGTCCTGGGTCTGCGACTGAAAACACCTGCACCAGAATCGGAAGGGTTTTCTGATCCATCTGTGAACCAACAACTATCCAGTTGAATGTTAGTACTTATTGGAAATTGTGAATTGTTATTGACGTTTCTTTCAACTTCTCCTAATACTCTTCCATCCTATACTAGTTTGCAACAGTGTTATCTACTTAAGAAGTTGAAATTAAAATAACCAAGACGAGAAACTTGGTATGTCTTAATCATAAGTTTATTTGACCACAACCGAGAGATTATTCGTTGTTTTCTGTGTTTGAGTTTATTAAATCCATTACAGAATATACTCTATTTACTCTATGTTACACTTGTCATAACAATTTCAGTTAGTAGAAAAAACTCGCAATCTCATCGCATCACTACCTTCAATATCTATGACTTTCTGATCAACCTGGATGGTTTTCCATCAGACCACCCACAAAGGCGATCACATATATTTTTCTTCATAATATTCGCAAGTACAAGTTGGAGGTAAAGCTGAACGAAGGCGTCAGATTGATGTAACTCTCAAACTCGGTTTAGAATTACAAAAACCCACAATGTACAATCAAAGGATTTATTATTGACGTTTGCGAACATTTGCATTCAGTTCAGCCTGCATAGATCCTCCCACGGCAGTTCTTAATGTCTTTATTACCATTGTGGAAATCTATCAGATTTTATGTGATGAAAATTATGAATGTCAAAAATAGATTCGAATGATATTCGTACATGGAAGCGATAAACTCTGTTAGAAACAAGAGTAAATAATGACTTTTTACGGGAGGATCTTGTTATTGAGTGTGAAGAAAAATGTACCTTCCCATAAGCCAAATATATATTAGTAGACTGATCGAAAACGAAGGTGAATATTCAAATTCCGCGGTCTACGTAAAGCCGCTTAGGCATTTTCAGTTTTTTTATGTTGGTTCACTTGTCTCGAATATATGTTCACAGTTTCAGCAGCTGTTCAGTATGTTTAGTTTCTTGGTGTGAGTCATAAAAGTTAGACGTGTTTTCCGTGTTCGTCGATTTTCTACTATCGAAAACAATGGATCAAAGAATTTGCGTCACTTAATAATGATAATAATATTGACTGGTCTTTATTTTTATATTGGCGGAGTTTAGCTAACGCTATTCTACCAGTCAATCAACAATATTTTTATACATGTGTGCATAGTCATACAGTAACATAACTTCAAACTTGGACATGTAGGTTTTAACATCACGAAATAGAGGCACATGTAAATGAAATAATTATAATGAAATCATGAAGTGAAATTCATTAAATAATTTAATTAGATTTAATTTGATTTAATTCGATTTAATTCAGGCAGATTCATTGTTCAACGAAGAGGATGACTTTTGTTTCAATTTTGAACGCAGTGAAATATTATAATTCCAATTCATCAGGATATGAGATACGAAGGTTTCTAGAGTGATACTGGTGACGTGGATTCATTTTGTAGTAGCGGTAATCTGGACATTGGTTCCTTGATAATTTGTGAAAGAAGCATACAAGATGATGTTTCCTTCTATTTAACATGTTCAGCAACTCAATATTGTTCATATTGTTGTTACATAATCTCTTCGTTTCAGCGAAAATATCAATCGGACGCAGGTCTGTGAGAGTAGACCATATGCTCTGGGGATCAGAGAGTTTATATTGCAAATGAACCTCAAATTTCAATCTATTGTTAACCCCAAGCATTGTATTTTGTCGCTATATTCTAGTTTCAGATTATTGACAAAAATTGACAAATTATCTGTGGCCCTATCCCGGTCCCTCTTATTACCAAAAATTATGGCTGATGATTTATTTGGGGTGATATTCAAATAGTGATTTCTTGAAATTTTCAATAAGTCATCCATATCCTAATTAAAAAAATGTTCAACGGATAAAAAATCATCAATATTTGCGGAAAAAAAATAGATTGGTGTCATCAGCATAGGTATGCATTCAAAAATTATTCAGTGCATTGAAAAAATCGGAGGTGTGGATAATAGATAGGAGAGGTGCAGTTATATAGAGCCCTGAAGTGCATCATGTATTACTTTTAGTTCTGATGATATGTTATTATTGATAATAACACGCTGTGTTCTATTACTGAGAAAAAGTTTGAAAAAAGATTGACTTTTTTCATCGAATCCGTAGTAAATGAGTTTTGCACATAGTAAAGCATGGGTCATAGTATCAAATTCTTTCCTATAATCAAGTGAAACTGAAAGAGTTACTCCATTCTCATCATATGAATGTATAATGCCATCGGTAATGTCACTTTCAGCGATTCAACAAGAAGCATTATGAAAAAACTTCAATATAGAAGCCATTGAAACTGTATAATGTACAGGATTTTATAAATATTTGGGCATTCAGCTAAAGATTATGACTGGATTTGAATAATTGGTGAAGGACCAGGTGACAATCGAAGTTTTTCCTCATTCTGGTGTTTATTTAGTATTTTGATTTCATGAATTGTTATTTTGGGGTGACTGAAAAATGTCTTCCATGTCCTATCAGTTTTTTGGGAACGTATTAGCCAGGCAGAAATTTCAAAAATGTTGATACAGCAAGAAATTTATTGAATTTGACACACATATCCACACATAGTACTGACGAAATTGTAATGAGGGTTCTTGAAGTAACAATGAAAATTTCTTATGATGTACTGTTTGGAACCTTTGGTGTAGTAATTAATATTACTGAAGTTTTTTCCCAACACCAATTCGTTATTTTTACACCTCGACACGTGTTTCGATCACCAAGTGATCATCTTCAAGAGGAAGATGAAACTAGAAACTACTCAAAACTAAAGCTATTTATGCTATTCAGGTACATCATATAGGTAGGTAATCAGTAATACCACCCATACAAGTGTACCACCCTAAATTAATTTTACAATTGGCCTTTCTATTATTTTACAATATGTTTGTATTGTAGGTAAACAGTAATACCACCCATACAAGTGTACCACCCTAAATTAATTTTACAATTGGCCTTTCTATTATTTTACAATATGTTTGTATTGTACCTACCTGTATGATGTACCTAAATAGCATAAATAGCTTTAGTTTTGAGTAGTTTCTAGTTTTATATTACTCTTGAAGATGATCACTTGGTGATCGAAACACGTGTCGAGGTGTAAAAATAACGATTTGGTGTTGTGAAAAACTCCAGAAATATTTAATGAAAATTTCTCTCATTCTTCTGTATATTTAGTGGTTTGATTACATAGATTATTATTTTGGGTTGACTGACAATGTTTTTTCATAGGTCATCATCTCTTCTGAGTATGTATTGGTAGCCACAGTTCGTCGTGTATTTCTGATATGTACCGCTCTTGGTAAAATCAAA